AATTTCACCACGATATCCCATATGACCGCCGTTATGCAACCACACGCGCCAAACATACCAGACTACCGTTCAACCTCCCTCTTTCGCACAGCGCAACACTCTAGGATGGACCTATCCACGAAGCTTCTTGCGTCTTCCTATTCTCCTGTCTCCCGAAGACCAACTACAGGGAGAGTAGACTCGATCGTTACAAAGTATCCAACAAAAATTGGGAGCTCGACACACTGGACTTCCCATACACCACGCCCTACTGGAGGCTCAACGAAACCTTCAAAAGCTCAGCAAGCTCTAACAAGTAAGTTAAACTCGTACTCCTCTATATAAAACTTGCTTCAATCAATCGCTCTCATAGATGAGTTTTAGGCAGTGATGATGTACGAAGTGCAACTTATGCGAAGACTGCAGCATTCCTTACACGCTCCAGAACGAGCTCTGTTCATGGATTAAAAGAGGCAACACATCAGCAGCAGACCACTACCAGTTCGTTAGACTTAAGATCTTCAATGCTTACAGTTTTTTATTATTCAAATCGCTCTCCCAAACACCATAAACACTGCAAGCAAATGGAGTAAAGAATGCTGGAACAGCAGCCCACTTTTACCCCCAGGGGCAATTTGAAAGGCAAAAGCCGCGCTCAAGAAGAGGGTATTATGGCGATTGAGACTGACCAGGAAGATCTTTCAGGGCGTGACAAGCTTTTTGAAAACGGCCTGTTGCATGATATAGGGGCAGATGCGCGACCACAGAACCATGTTTAATTTTTGTCTTCTGGGAACGGGACGCGCTTGGCCTGGCGCATGAAATACCATAGAAGAGTTCGCTAGTTCGAGCTTCGCTCCTCTTAGTTTTCGATTCCTCTTGGTGACAAATTTTTGCATTTCGAGTTGACGTTCCAAAATTCGCGCAAAATGGAGTTCTGATTGTTCTGGTTGGTTCTAACTCCATTTTGCGCGAATTTTGGCACGTCAACTCGAAATGCAAAAATTTGTTACCACGAGGAATCTAGGGACCTCCTTTTCTGGTATTCAGAGGGCCGTTCAGGAAAAATTGAACATGGTTCTGTGGTTCCCGCATCTGCCCCTATATCATGCAAAAGACCGTTTTCAAAAAGCTTGTCACGCCCTGAAAGACCTTCCTGGTTAGAGATGCGAAGTGGAACGACAGTGGAGAAAAAACTGAGAAAAACCGTCGACAAGGCCGTTAACAAAACCCTCTTTCCCACTAGCAGTGAAGGAGGCTGGCTTGGGGAAAGAGGCACGTACAAACAAGTTTTCTGGAGATGTCAGTCGTTCTATCGGTTGATACGGCAATCAACTAGCTGATTTCACACGTTATGCCAGCCACGCACCACTTCCGGAGGTGGGCGGTCCTGGATTGACCAGGCGGCCCTGGATTGAAACCGAACGCCCCGGGGCCTTAACGGGGTTTTTCAAGGTGGGAAGTTGCTGCAATGTGTGCAGCTACCCACATACAACCTCCAGGCACGGGAATTACTTCTCTAGCGTGCCTGAGCCCGACCTTTGCCTTTAGGTTCTATTCCCTACAGTTGCACGTTTCACGATTGCTTACAATTACGTGGGGTCCAGTGCTTTAGGTGGCTGAGTACCGTTCGCAGGCTCTCCTGACTGCTCTTCTTGTTCATCAAGTGTTATCTAATTTTCTCTAATTAATTTCTGATTTGTCGTGTCATAGGTCAATGGTTTATCAGCGCATTCAAAGTTATTGATATTACGTTATATATATTGTATTTAACCCTTTCCGGACCGCGCACTTTTTGCGCTCACGGCCGCATGCTGCGCGGCAAGCATAAATATCATATATTTAATCTGTATTCCCACTAAAGCCATTATTTTGTCTCGTTTATGTCTTTGTCATGTCTCGAAGAATATATAAGATTAATTTGACAGAAAACTGTTTTGCAAAAAAAGGGAAAGGGCCATAAAAAGGGAGGAAGGGACGAAAATTGTTCAAAATAAGTTGGTATGGAGAAAAAGGGAGTAGAACGTGCCCAAAACGATTGGATCCATAAGAATCAGATACGACGAGCAGGATATTTCACAAATTCTTCGTTTTTAAGTGTTTTCAAGCGAACTACAACTGTTTTCTTTGAGCCCAAAGTGGAAGTCCATTTACTCTTTGGTTATTTTAGAACCTAGATTAAACCTAAAGTCTAGGTTTTTTCATACATATGGCATGAGTCTGTTACATAGGTATGTAACAACATAAAATATTTTATCGAAAAACCAAACTCTTGGAAAAATCAGCTCTTGAAGTTCCTGACACACCATGTGTGTCAGGCGGTCCGGAAAGGGTTAATATATACCACTATATAAAGCGCCACGTCTGTGTGTGTGTCACGAATTTTATAGCACGGGTCAGCAGTGGTGGAAAGCTGGTTCTTACGCGTGATGTGGAGAGTAGAGCTGTAACATTTTTGGTGGGCCAAAATCGAAGACAGCTAAAAGCGCCGATAAGCGCCAAAATGCAAGTTCACGAAATTCATAGCACGTATGCCAAGCAGTGAGGCTAGCCCTTAGCAAATGATGTAGAGGGTGGAGGGACATCCTGAGTGGTGGAGAGAAAATGATAACAGCTGATAAGGGCTGATAATGTGATATGCGTACGAACATAGAACTCACTTCAAACCAGATATTGGATAAAACTGCATTTATTTTCAATAGCATTTCGTTTGCGTTTTCGCTGTCATCAACAGAAGTCATTCGACCACTTTACTCCCTAGAATTTTCTACGATAATAGATTCTTCAGCGGTGAGACCTAACGCTCCACCATCTAATCAGTTTCAACGAATCATGCGCGCGGTAGCGTGCGAATAAACTGGCCATTAAATGATGCAGGAACGAAAGAGTGACAATAATAAAGCTAAGCTTGAAGGTTGTCACTAAAAATCGGATGCGTAGAGTTGTGTGTCCATTAGTGATTAAAAATTCTGCAGTAATAGTAGGTGAAATTGTTAACGAGCTAAAATTAAAATTTGCAATTCGTCTAAATGCGAAATTTGAGGATGGCCATGTAACTCCGAAACATTTCGTACGTAGTTCGTTTTTATTTATTACCGGATTAGTCTTCCGGCGACCGCAAAAGTGTCTTTTTCTGCGCAAGCTCCGCGCCTCCCGCTGTGCCCTTACAGTCGTGACACCAACTTGGGGTGCGGATGCGCGGGCCCAGAAAAAGTGCGTTTCTTAGCGAAGGGTATTACACAGTGACGACATGAAACATTTAAACATTTAACCGGACCCGAGATCTGTTGGAAGTTGGCGTGGCTCTACGCCTACCCATAGTCTCCTCTCTCTAGCGCCCTCCAACTGCCACTGGAGCACCATTTGGAGTGAACGAGACTGACTCAGTACGTGTGTATGTAGCCGTTGTTGTGATATCACCATCATGCCATAGCAAAACAGTGATAGCCAAGTTTTATTAGCGTTTGCTTTGCTTATTCCGTTAGTTCCCTTACCACACCATTTTGCGACAAACAGACATACAGTAGCGGTCAAGAAGTTTGGAAACTTTTTTATTTTTGATCTAGTGTAGCCAATAGACAATGAAATTGTCCCGAATTCACATATTATATACAGAATCAAGTGTAGATTACGATGAGCAACATAATTTTTTGAAAACGAGATTCGCTTTTGAAAAATACGAATTTTTATAAGAAATGGCGCGTCAAAAGTTTGGAAACTTCTCAATTCCAACTGCAAAATAGGTCTTGAATCTATATGATATGCTTATCATTATTATTATTGTCTATTCGATGAGTAGCTGTTAATTTTTATGTCAGTTTTTATTTACGTGGAGTTGGCTTGTTCTTCTTCCTTATTCTTTAGCGTCTGTCCCGCTTGTAGGCGGGGTCCGCTTTTCTGATGTGTTGACGCCACTTTTCCCGATTAAATGCTTGATCGGGGTGGATGTTAACCGACTTCAAGTCTTCGTGCAACGTATCGAGCCATCGCTGCTTCGGGCGCCCCTAGGCCGCTTTCCGGGCACGTCAAGGTTGAGACCGATCTTACGACACTGTCATCTTTCGCGAAGGACATGACCATACCATCGAAGACGGGCTTCGCGCATCTTGTCGACAATTGGAGCCACACCGAATCGCTCTCTGATGACATCGTTTCGAATGTGGTCTACTCGTGTGACTCCGGCTGTCCAGCGCAGCATCTTGGTCTCCATCACACTGAGACGGCTTCGACTCTTTAGTCGTAGGCCAGCACTCAGCACCGTAAATCGCGACCGGCCGGATGACGGTCCTATAGATCTTAGATTTGAGACGTTCTGGCATGTTTTTATCGCAGAGAACGCCAGTCATCGAGCGCCATTTCGACCAGGCTGCATTCACGCGAGAATTCGTTTCAAAGACCAGGCTGCCGTCAGACGCGATTGCTGATCCAAGATACTTGAATGATGTTGCACGAGTGAGTTCAGTACCATTGATCTTAATAGAGCCTAACTCACTCGGATCGGTGGTCAAGTACTCAGTGTCTTTTTGACGTTCAGATTGAGTCCGAACATAGCCAGACGGTTGGACCAGACTTGCACCTGCCGTTTGCACTCGGCTCTTTAGACTCGAGTAAAGGATGCGCGCCCACTCGACGAGCTTTTCAGGACGTCGTAAAACATAACATACATATAACGTCGCGCGGAACGCGGTCGAATGCCTTCTCCAAGTCTAGGAAGGCAAGGTGCACCGGTCTTTGTTTCGCGATGCTTTTCTAGCAGAAGGCGAGCGGCGTGTATGGCATCGATAGTGCTGCAACTAGCCACAAAACCACACTGGTTGGTGGTCAGCTCGACGATGTCCCGGATACGGCTATCTACAATCGCTCAAAGATTTTCATGCTGTGCGAGAGCAGGCGAATTGGACGGTAGCTAGTGCAGTCTCCAGGACTGCCCTTCTTCTTCCAGATAGGAATCGTCGTGCTTGTTGCCAGCTTTCAGGCACCTTCTTCTCTGCAACGATCTGGTTGAAGAACTCCGTCAACCATTCTGCAGGATTCCAGCATTTTGATTTCCACAAGTCCGCCGCTAAGTCGTCAGGACCAGTTGCTTTGCCTGATTTCATCTTCTTCATGGCCGTGATGGTCTCCTCCATGGTTATCTTCTGAACGGGACCGTGTACTGGCGGAGCACAGGGGATGGCGGGATGAGTAAATTCGACTGTTGAGATGTTTTCGAAGTAGTCACGCCATCGCTTCAGTGTTTTCTTGCGGTCCGTCAAGAGGTGGCCATTCTCGTCATTTATGCCGAAGAACTTTTCTATATCCTCGGTCTGGCGATAGCGGGTCTTTGCAAGTCGGTAAACGTACCGCTCACCATCGCGCGACTCGAGTTTCTCCTTGATATCAGCAAAATGAGCTGCTTTCGCAGAAGCAACGGCCTTCTTTGCCTCTTTCTTCGCTATCTGATAGCTCCGCCAGTTATCAGCTGTCTTTTCGTTAAGAAAATGCGTGGTACCGCTTCTTCTTTTCGCGCACTTTCTCTCTGACCTGGTCCGTCCACAGCCACGTTTGCTTGTCAATTCTCCGCCGTCCAGGCTTCGTCATCCCGAGCTGGGATCGAGCTACAATCTGAGCTACAGTCGTTTTCGCTGGTAATCGAATGCGGGAAACGACGGCCGCTTCTTTTTCCTTCAGTCGCCACCACTTAATTCTCGCTGGCCCACACCTTTCGGTTAGTTTCGGTTTCGGCGGGGCGATCTTTAGCGTACAAATTAGTGGTCGGTGTTGCGACCGTTTCATAAGGCACTGTTTTCGCGTCTGTTACGAGCCCTTGGTCGCGGCGCCTGACAAGTACGAAATCAATTTGTGTTCTGGTGTTACCGCTATAGAAGGTGATGAGATGTGAGTCGCGTTTTCGGAATTTCGTGTTCACAATGGCGAGGTTGTGCGAGTCTGCATACTCGAGAATTCGCTCGCCATCAGTGTTACCCATATCCAAAACCACCGTGACAGCTGTAACCGTCTTTCGTAGCGCCAACGTGCCATTGAGGTCACCTGCGAACAATTATGGCTTCTTGTGACGGTACCTCAGCTGTCTTCTCATCAAGCAGGTTCCAGAACTTGTCTTTGGCTTGCTTCATCCAGTCTGCGGAGCGTACGCAGAGAAGAAGTGGTATTTTCGTTGTTCGATGACGACAATGATTTTCATTAATCGGTCGTCGAAGCGCTCCACGTTTACTATCGAATCACGAAAGCGTTCAGAGACAATCATCCCGACGCCATTGGTGGTTCTGGGACCGCCACAGAGAACGGCTTTGAAGCCGCGGCCAATGTCCCTCGACTTGCAGCAGGACCACCTCGTTTCCTGCACGGCACAGAAGTCTATTCGTCGGCGCTCTAGCGCTTCTGCCAGCTCGCTGGAGCGGCCCGTCAACGTGCCAACATTTAATGTTGCAACGCGGGTCTTCGATACGTTGCATGGACTTTTGGACTAGCCTAGTTGCCCCCCGATGCCGTCCTTGCACCGGAGACCCTCGCATACTTTTCACACTCGCCGGGCTTTGCGAGTGCGCGTCGGCTCCCGCGGACGCCGTAGCATTATCTCGAAATTCATATGGCGACATTAACATTTGTGATGTGACGTGGGTGTTCGTAGGCCGGCCTGTCACGCCTGCATTCGAATGTCCGTGTTCAGCTCAGCCCACAAAGTGGGCAGTTCCCAGTGGCACCCTTGGAGGAACGGACACCGCCACCAACGTAGGGTTGATTATAAAATAATTTAAGGACTTTTAAGACGAACTCACTGTGAACTAAATCGCATTGTTTGGTGGGATTCTTAACTGGAATGTGGGTTGAGCGACATGCCAGTTCTTCCGTGGGATGTAGAACTCAATTAGACTTTAGATCTTGACTTGGTCGCTTCATAACAGCTTCTTTTTCTGGGTTTAGGAAGGCGGCAGTGAGGAGGTAGGCCTGCATTGGGTCATTTCCGCGATAGAAAACCCATCTTTTCCGGCTAGTTCTGACTATCGAAGGAAGCATTGTATTCTACAGACTATACTTGTACTTAGCCCAACCACATTTCGCTGGATACCTAGAACTGGGGAATCGCCGAATGGTCGGACACATCTTCATCCATGACAATACTTCCACTATTTCTGACTGTTGGAATCTTATACTCAAAATGAGGTTTCCATTTGACAAAACACTTCACAGGGTCCACAACATCATTTCTAGGAAGATAGAAATCCCATTCGTCGCTGAGGACAAAGTTTTACCTCTCGCCTTCGGTCCATGTTAGCCGTTAGTGTGCGGAAGCCAGTTGGGCCATCCTGCTCTTGAAGCCCAACAATGGCTTCTTGTTGGGACATCATCCGTAATATTCACCAGGTCGCGGCCGATGTTGGGCTGCACTTGGACTTTCATATGATTAGGAAAAAACCAGAAAAAGTCGTCTCTTAGTTGGGATGTCGGGGGTACGGGACGTGCCAACCACCCTTCGAAGTATTTGAGGAGGGCCAATTTTCTTGTGAGGATACTTTTTTGTGAATGATCATTCTTCTTATGCTTACTCGACTCCAATAACGCTAGAAACATTCGATAATATTGCTTCCGTAGAGACTGAACTACTAAGAAACAATTTCAATTTCGTATTCCGGATTGTAGGGTTTAAAAAAGGACCTCCCATGGAAAAACTGCTTCCTTTGCATATGAATTCATTTTGAAATTACACATTCTCAATGGTTGAACTAAAATTAACAGAAACAAGTAAACATTGAAGAGTAGGAATCATAATGATGAGGGAAACAAAAAGTTTCCAAACTTTTGACGCGCCATTACTTGAAAAAATCTTCTCAAATATGATTATAGATTTTTGGAAATTATTCTTCCCATCGTATTCTGGACTTGATTTTGTATGTAATATCTAAATTTGAGGACAATTTCGTTGTGTGTCCGCGCTAGATCAAAAATAAAAAAGTTTCCAAACTTTTGACCGCTACTGTATGTAGATACTTACATATAGTTGATATCCGAGAGTTGGGGTAGGCGTGCCACCGGAAATGACGTAGCCGTCGCGGGCGATGGACTTTTGGTGCGTCCGGGGTTACGCGCGGCGATCCGGACGAGGCAAGTCTTCGCGGGCTCCTGCAGTGGAATTCAACACGTCAGAACGTGTGCAGATCGCGGATAGAATCCACAAGGTTCTGCGATTCGAATTACAT